GGAGGAGCTCTGGTGTGGTGGAGCTTGTTGTGGTGGTGGAGAGGAAACACCTCACCCCTTATCATAGAACCTTGGAAGAACTGAAAATTTACAGGTCCCTAGAAGTATCTCTAAAAACAGCTGTACAAACCCCCAAAGCTTGGGACAGTACATTCTCCACATTGGAAACAGACTCTTACCTTAACAAAGAGTTTAAAACTCAAGTAATTGGTTGGGATCATGAGCAAGCAGTGCAAAAAGAGTCAGACTATATTATCTTACTTTGGTGACAAAGAAGATCAAAACATACAACCAGAAGAAGAAAACAAAGTCAAAGCTCCTACATCCAAAACTTCCAAGAAAAATACGAATCAGTTTCAGGCCTTGGAAGAGCTCAAAAGGGATTTTGAGAAGCAAGTAAGAGAAGTAGAGGAAAAACTGGGAAGAGAAATGAGAGTGATGCAAGAAAATCATGAAAAACAAGTTAACAGCTTGCTAAAGGAGACCCAAAAAAATACTGAAGAAAATAACACCTTAAAAAATAGCCTAACCCAAATGGCAAAAGAGGTCCAAAAAGCCAATGAAGAAAAGAATGCCCTAAAGAGCAAAATTGGACAAATGGAAAAGGAAGTTCAAAAGATTACTGAAGAAAATACTTCCTTAAAAATTAGAATAGAGCAATTGGAAGGTAGTGACTTTATGAGAAATCAAGACACTGTAAAACAAATCCAAAAGAATGAAAAATTAGAAAACAATGTGAAATATCTCATTGGAAAAACAATTGACCTGGAAAATAGATCCAGGAGAGAGAACTTAAAAATTATTGTACTATCTGAAAGCCATGATCAAAAAAGGAGCCTAGACATCATCTTTCAAAAAATGATCAAGGAAAACTGCCCTGATATTTTAGAACCAGAGGGCAAAATAGAAATTGAAAGAATCCACTGATCTCCTCCTGAAAGAGATCCCCAAAGGAAAACTCCTAGGAATATTGTAGCCAAATTCCAGAGTTCCCAGGTCAAGGAGAAAATATTACAAGCAGCCAGAAAGAAACAATTCAAGTATTGTGGAAACACAATCAGGATAACACAAGATTTAGCTGCTTCTACATTAAGGGATGGCAGGGCACGGAATATAATATTCCGGAGGGCAAAGGAGATAGGATTACAACCAAGAATCACCTACCCAGCAAAACTGAGTAAAATTCTTCAGGGGAAAAAATGGTCATTCAGTGAAATAGAAGACTTTCAAGCATTCTTGATGAAAAGACCAGAGCTGAATAGAAAATTTGACTTTCCAATACAAGACTCAAATGGAACATGAGGAGTAAACAGGAAAGAGAAATCACAAGAGACTTATTAAGGTTGAACTGTTTACATTCCTGCATGGAAAAATGATATTTGTAACTCATGAGACCTTTGTCAGTATTAGGGTAGTTGGAAGTAAAAAATTATATGTATGTATATATATACATATATAGATAGATAGATAGATAGATAGAGGGCACAGGGTGAGTTGAACATGAAAGGGTCATATCTGGAAAATAAAATTAAGGGGTGAGAGAGGATTATACTAGGAGAAGGAGAAAGGGAAAGGTAGAACAGGGTAAATTATCTCACAAAAAAAAACAGAAAAGAAAAGGCTATTACAGTGGAGGGGAAATGGGGGAAGGTGAGAGGGAATGAGTGAATCTTATTCTCATAGGATTTGACTTAAGGAGGGAATAACATACACACTCAATTGGGTATGGAAATCTGTCTTACCCTACAGGAAAATAGGAGGGGAAGGGGACAAGAGAGTAGGGGGATGATAGAGAGGAGGGCAGATTGGGAAAGGGGGTAATCAGAAGCAAATACTTCTAAGGAGGGACAGGGTCAAAAGAAAGAATAGAATAAATGGGGGGGCGGGATAGGATTAAGGGAAATAGAGTTAGTTTTTCACAGTATGTCTACTATGGAAGTGTTTTGCATAACTGCACATGTATAACCTATATTGAGTTGCTTGCCTTTTCAATGAGGGAGGGTGGGGAGGGAGGAAGGGAGAAAATTTAAAACCCAAAGTTTAAAAAACAATGTTTTCACATGCAGCTGGGAAATAAGAAATACAGGAAATGGGGTACAGAAATCTATCCTGCCCTACAGGAAAATAGAAGGGGAAGGGGGGGAGAGATAGCAGGGAAAGCAGACTAGGGGAAGGGGTATTCAGAATGCATGCCATCTTGGGGTGGGGGGAGGGGCAAGATGGGGTGAAAATTTGGAACTCAAAATCTTGTGGAAGTAAATGTTGAAAACTAAAAATTAAAAAAAAATAAAATTAAAATTAAAAAAGATACAACGTTCTTTTCTGGCTGCAATCATGGCAGATGCGGAAGAAGAAGCTGCTAGCTGCTCCAGAATCCCTTCTGAAAAGATGAAAGGCCTTTGCAGAACTAAAGGCCAAACACATGAAGAAAGTGACTACTAAAAAAAAAATCTTCAGAAGATAAGGAGGAGGGTTATTTAAGAAGGAACTAAAGCCTACCTACCATAAGGGATACAGGTAGATGTACATTAGTGGTTTGACTGAAGAGAATAGTGTGAAAATATGGCAACTACCATGTACTTGCTGAACCCAAATCAGTTTTTGTGATTAGAATTAGAGATAGCAATGGTGTCAGCCCAGAGGTCCATAAAGTATTGCAGGGTCTTTGCCAAATCTTCAGTAGTACTTTTGTTAAACTCAACAAATTTTAATTAACATGCTGAGGATTTTAGAACCTTAACCTCTGAGTAACCCTAGGCAATACATTGCTTGGGGTTACCCAAATCTGAGGAGAAAGAAGAATTTATGTACACCTACCATGTGCCAGGTACTGTGGTAAGAGCTTTTTGCAAATATTATTTCATATGATCCTCCAAACAACGTTGGATATAGGTACTATTATTGTCTCCATTTTACAGTTGAAGAAATTGAAGCAAACAGAGGTGAAGGGACTTGCCCACAATCACACTGCTAGAAAGAGGCTGGATTTGAAGTCATGTCTTCCTGATTCCAGGCCTAAGGCTCTATCCACTATGACACTAGCTGTCTGACTTGAACTGAAGTGGCTATAGATTAAGAAAAAAAGGGTTGTTCTGCATGGTGATGCCCTTATTGCAAAAATCTCTTGGCAAATATGGAATTATCTGCATGGAGGACTTGATCCAAGAGAAAGTATAGACTGGTGGCAAACGCTTCCAAATTGACAATTTCCTGTAGCCTTTCTATTCCCTCTCTTCAGTTATCTTTTCTGTGGAGTGGAATGAATTAAAAAAAGAAAAAGGTTCTGTTTTGTGGAAGGTGGAGATGATGGTAACAAGGAAGACCAGATCAACAGGCTTATTAAACAATAAACTAACAATAATAATATAAATGAATATAATAAATAATACAATAACAGTAATAATATATAACAATAACACATTAGAACAATAAACTAAAGGTGTCTAGCATGATTATTTTTTTCTAATGGTCTGTTAATAAAAAATGCCTGTGATTTTAGGAAAAGGATAAAGGCACTCTTGGGCTAATTTGTTTCATCCCTGAAGTATCACAGCAGCCCTGGAATTTTGCAGGAAGATCTGTGACCCAGCTCAAGAATGAAACAGAACTACCTTCACATTCGAAAGAACTATGTTATAAATCTTTTTTATAATGGGCGCCAAGCTTTCACTATGCATTCAGCAAAATTTTACCATTTTGCATCTCACCAAATATTTATTGAGTACCTACTATGTTCAAGATATTATAGGAAGTAGGCAAGAAAAATAAAAGATCATATCTCCTTCTCAGATAGTTGATAATTTAATCAGGGAAGAAAATAAGATACACATAAATAATTATGACATAAATTTAGAATCTGAAAGTTACACAGAGAAGGGAAAAAGTGCCATGAAAATTTGGAGGAGAAAGACCTCAGTATAGAGTGAGGCAATCAGGGGAGGGTTTATGGAAGGATAATACCTAAGAAAGGCAAGGGCATGGAAATGGGAAAGGGTAGGACAAGTTAAATTTTACTATATACAAGGTATACATATACTATATACATATATTTAGAAAACCCTGTAGAATGTTGTAAAATATATTAACAATCTATTTTAGGTCTAAGTGCCTAGTATGTTGCTATTGAACTCCCTATAATTGTTATTTGAGATATTTCAGTATTTATCATCACTCTTTGGCAACTTAATGTTACTGCAACCTAGATAGTTTGATCTCTTTATTAAAGTTAATGAGTTATTATAAGAATGACTTCACTTAGTGAGCAGAACCAGGAGACCATCGTACATAGTAACAACAACACTGTGCGATAATCAATTATGACAGACTTAACTCTTCTCAGCAATACAATGATCTAAGACAGATCCAAAAGACTCATGATGGAAAATGCTATCCACATCCATGATAAAGTCTGAATGCCTATCAAAACATACTATTTTCACTTTTTCTGTGTGCTTTTTTCCTTTTGGTCTGTTTCTTCTTTCACAACATGACTAATATGGAAATATGTTTTATAGGATTACACATATATAACCTAAATAAAATTGCTTGCCATCTTAGGGAGGAGGGAAGGTGAAAATTTGGGACTCAAAATTTTATTTAAAAAATGAATGTTAAAAATTGTCTTTACATGTAATTGGAAAAAATAAAATACTATTTAAAAGAAAAAAAGAGAATAACTTCACTTTAAGGATTTTACCTTCACAAAGTTCTAGATTTAGTGATTCTAATCTAAACAATAGCTATTATAGAGCATATCACAGTAATTTAAGTTTGATTATTCACAGTGGCAGATTGAAGTGTGCCTTAGATACATTACAAAGATGGTGCTCAAATGGTTTCAATAGTTTAAAAAGTTCATTTATTCAAAAAACTTGATGCCTTTAGAAATGTGTTTCTTTTATTACTTTTTTCCAAATGTCAGTTTTATCTACGTTATAGGTTATTACTGACTTTTTGAGCCTTCATTTAAAATTGTAAATAGATAAACCTGTTATACATACCCAAAAGCTACATATTTTCGATCCAGATAAGAAGCTTTCTGTAGTGTGATATAGAATTGTGACCCATTGGTGTGCCGTCCCTTGTTGGCCATACCAAGAACCCCTCTTTTATCATGTGGCACTGCAAAGTTTTCATCTAGGAAAGATCAGTAGGTCATGTAAATGCTGCTTTTAAATTAATTCACCATATTGTCTTTATTGGTAGCAACATATAATGAACAAAAAGAACACCTGCTATATTCTCATTTGTAAGTGTTTATGAGTATATTGCAAAATTTTTAACATTTGATTCATTTCCATATCCTTTCCATTTTTCCAAATAGCCTCTAAGAAAAATAGATGTAAAATCTCATTAATATGGACTCTACTATTTCTGATATAAGGTGAAGTTAACCTAAGTATTAATGGTAAATAAGTTTGCTCATAAAATTAAGAGTGAAAAGAGAAAAGCTTAAGCTGCTTAAGAATGAAGGTCAACAAACTTTTTATTTTCCCAGCACCACTTTAGTGGCAGTGTTTAAATTCAACCAGTCACCCTGCTGATTGAACATGATTCTCATCTAATGAAAGTATTTACAAGCTAAGCTAAGATTTATAATTGGTTCCTCTCTTCCCTTATCCCTGTCTGCAGTTCTTTTATATGTAGTTTAAAGAAATACAACTTCATTTCCTTGGAGAATGTTTTATAAGTCACATTTTTTTTATGGTTTGGGCACTCCCTTCATTGACTACAATAATCTTCAGAAAGTAATGATGGCAATAATAATAATAATAATAATATTAACAGTAATTTGCTGGTCAGTCTTTGGGCTCAGCCTCTTGGAACTTAGCTAAGCTAGTCTTCTAAGTGAGTATTATCTATTCCTGGACTCATACTCGGAAGACTTTTCAAACTTTAGGAGGCCCGACAGACCTTGACGCTCCATTGGTTTACCTTTAAGAACTCCAAACCACCGTGAAGCAGTAGAGTAAGACTTTAGCTGAGGATGCTTTATTTTAGTATTTTTTTAAAGGCTGTCTTTTTTTTTTAAGATCATAACCTCATGGTCAGGCTAAGATCTCATGCTTCTGGTGCGTGGGTTAAAAGACGTGGAGAGTAATGTCTTGTGTCCATCATACTTCTGTGCGTAATACATGTTCTTGCCAGTAATTGCCTTTGTACAAATAAGTCAGGCAGTCTGAAATGGAGTGGGCTCCAGATTAACCAAAACAGGGGCCTGGCAGAAGACTGAGGCAGACAAAGAATGCAGACATAATAGAGAAGGCTAAAGGTCACAAATGGATAGATGGGAAGTAAAGATATGACCTAGACAGAAATAATACACAGAATTAATGCCAGTCAGACTCTGTTGGAAGAAAAGGGGAAGATTAAAAACCGCAATAAAAAATGCAATTACAAACAAAAATGCTTACTTTAAATAAAAATGGGTGGAAGCTAAACTATTTGGGTCAAGAATAACTGGGTGGTTGTCTGCATATAATTTCAAAATGTAAAATGAAGATTTCAAAAGATAATCCTAACGTGATAAATGTAAAGTAGATGAAATTCACTTTTGAAAAAAATAATGAAAATGAAAGAAATAACATTCTAAAGATATCAGGTTTCTTGGTGGTGGCAAAGTATTATGTCAGTGAAAAGTAACTCAAGAGAAGGATTTAAGGAGGGTTTTTACTGGATTTTTAAAAAATCACCATAATATTCTACAATCATAGAGACATTTTTAGCATAAGTAAGCATTTATTTTTTTCCTCTCTCCAAGTAATTTGTAATTGGTAATGAAACTTTACTTTTTATACTGTATTCAATCAGGGATTATTTGGAATATGATTGCCCATTTGTTAAGTAAGAATATCCAATGAAAATATGAGAAGGGAACAGGAAGGCTTTTAAAAGCAGTTATCCTCAGAAGACCACATCTTTAAAATCACAAAATTAACAGAAAAGTGCTGATAAAGAAGATCCCACCCCAATTATTTTGTTGATTTACAAAAATTTCATTTGTTATAAAATCTTATTTTGTTCATTACAAAGGGGCATTTGACTCAAAAAGCCCTAAAGGCCATCCTTCTAACACAGAGTCTCATGCCTTTGTTAAGCTCCTACAAGATACCTGGATAAATTAACTACAGAGATAATTCTAAGTCTCCGAATATTATTAAGCCAGGCATAAAACCAAAAAGGTATATGCTCAACAATGATGTTTGCCTTTATAATGGAGGATACGTTGTACAAGGTCCAAATAGAAAAGATATTTCTTATGGATGGTAACAATGATAGATATTGTACTGATCACCTCAAACTCCGGGACATTATAGAGCTGTGTGGATTTCAAACTTCTTTTGCTCACTGCAGGATTGTTTGGGGGTTTTTTGCCACGGACACATCAAAGGAGAGTACTTAGGATACTCACTAATACAAATGCAAGTGTAAGTTCTGTAGCCTCTTATTTGCAAGGGGGATAATGGGAAGTGGTTTCCTTAGCTGGAAGTGGGGTCAGAAGGATCATAGGAAGTGTGGAAAGAAGGGAGGGATCAGGGGGCTCTGTGAATGTGCCAACTGATTTCAAATGAAGGATATTGCTACCCTGAATTGAATGTGATTATGAGCAGATGAAGCCTTGCCTAGCTCGCTGACTTGCTTCCTAGTGATCTTCCTAGACAGAATTTTGTGGTTTCCCAGATTGTTGCTGCTACTGGGACCTGATGAATTTATGCTCTCTCTGCTTCCTCTCCTTGACGGGCAAACAGGCATATGACCTCCTTGGGAATTTCTTGGTAGTTTTTTTTTTTTAATTTTGTTTACTTGCTATATATACTTTTATAATGGGTTTGTCTCTAGACTCCAGATGAAGATGAGCTGGTTTTTATTTGATTATGAGCCAGTGGTTTCTATAAAGGAGTAAACCACACAATGAGGAAGGGGGGAACCCACAGATAGACTTAACCTTGAGTTTATACTGAAATTTCTCTCTGGAGACACAAAGAGGGCTTTCACTTCCATACATTTCATGGCATACGTAGGTAAGGCACACCCTGAGGCTCTTTAATTATGTTTATTTAAAAGATACCAGAAGAAATCACCATATAATCCACACAGGAAAAGCTAAACGGATGAAAAATGCTTTATGTCCAGTATTATGACCTGCAGTTAGAAGGCTGTGTTGAGGGAGATAAAATGTACATTAAGTATATACAAAATATGGGGAGAGGAATTGGGACCTGACTTGTTAGTCAGGTATAGGGAACTCTGTGGGGAGGAAACAACCTCCACTAACGCAGGTTGTTGCATTCTCTGCAAGTTATAGTTTTGGGAAAGTTGCCTAATGCAATGAGATGTTAAATGACTTACCCAGGAGTCATATGGGCAGGTCAGTCTTTCTGACTGTGAGGCTGGCTTCCTATCCCACTATTAAATAATGCTGCATCTCATGCAAAATAAATACAAGGAATGGTCTTTCTTATTTAGTTATCACTGTATACTTTATGTATTTATCATCCCACATTTACTAGGCCACATAGTTAATTGAGCTGACGTTCAACCCAAATATAATGTTAGGTTCTCTAAAATTCTGGGTGGAAATTGTCAGCAGGGTTTTAATTAAATGTGTAATATAAAGTTTATGCTAAAAAATGAAGTAAATGAACTTTTTAAGGGATGAGAGGGGGAACAGAATAAACATTTTTATCTAGCACCTAACACATAGCAGGCATGTTACAATTATTATCGAATTTGATCCTCACAGCACTTCTGGGAGGTAGGTGCTATTATTATTCCCATTTAAGGAAACTGAGGCAAACAGAAGCTAAATGACTTGCCCAGGGTCACACAGTCAGTACATATCTGAGGCTGGATTTGAATTCAGGTGTTCCTCAATTCACTGTGCCATCAGCTGCCTCTAACAGTTATAACTAAAGTGGTTACTTTTAAAATGTTGACTTAAGAACTAAAGACCATTGGGTTCTTACTGGAAGTTTTTTATATGAATTGCAAAATGACACTTTAGTTTAAATGGCTTTCCGTAACTGTGTTAATTCCTAGACATTTCGGTAGAACATAAAAACATTCCATTCACTTCACAGAATACTGCAGTGAGTGGAGATCTGCCAAGAGTGAATATTAACATCTAAAAGTGGTATCTGTCACTGCTCTTAGGCAGTGATTATTATTTTTTTTTCAATTTTGTTTAAGAAGAATCATTGTTACATTTAAACTTTTCTCATAATTTTGCTGCCTGTGATTTTTTTTCTTTCCATTCCTTGTGTATTAAAAGGAAAATCAATTAATTTCTAAAAGGTATAAATAGGTTGGGCTGTTGGTTAGAATTTTGTACTGGAAACAGTCATGGGGCACAAAAAAAATTACGCAGGCAGGAATCATTTCCTGTTTCTTTTCATCCTTATTAGTGGCTGACTGAGCTGTCATACAGTGTCAGATCAGCAAACGGATTGCAATTAATTTTTATACGATACTAGCTGACCCCAGGCAGACTGATAGTTGTGTCCTCCTGTGCCAGGGGATAATGGAAGAAGGTGGGCAGGGAGACTGGCTGTAGCTATTTCTTTTCTTTATTGACTCAACACAGAAGGTGATCAAGCCTAGACAGTAGTTTGAGGATGCACAGTGAACTCATTGCTGCTCTGAGTGCACTGGGATAACAGCCACCGCTGTGATTCCTCAAACCGCTGCTGAGAGCCTTTCTAAGAGAAGTGTTTCAGGTGGAAACCGAGCACCCTTTCCTCATCCCCCCTCCCTCCAATTCCTCAGAATTAGCACAGCTCAATGCTCTGCAGGGCAAGAGGATCTACTTGAAATCGAACAATCATCGTTTTTCTCTTTAATCTCCAATCTTTCCCTATCTATTGGTTCCTTCCCAGATGCTCAAAACATGCACCCAAATTGTTTACTTCCTTAAAAATACCCCATTTGATCCTACCATCCCTTCAAGCTATTGTCCCCTTTCTCAAAGTTTGAGAAAAAGTTATCTACAACCATGGGGTTCACTTCCTCTGCTCATTCACTTCTTAACTCTTTGTAATCTGGCTTCTGGCATCACCATCTGAAATTGCTCTCTCCAGAGTTATCGATGATCTCTCTCTTTTTTAAAAAAACAAATTATTTTCATTGAACAAAAATCT